TTAGAGTTAATACTTATATCTTAGAAGTAATTTATAAATCTCTAAATATACCCAATCGTATTATTATTAGCTATTATCGAAGCTTTCTATTCTATTCTTATAGCTCCTCAACCTTAATACTAATCTACTCTAAGCGTTATTAAACCTTATTTCATTAGTTTACTATCTTATTCTTCTTAGCCTTAAAATCAATATATTATTTAACTATATCTCGAAACTAGTCTCATTAATAGCGAAGATCGTAAAGTATAATAAGAAACTAATTAGACTTCTTATCGATCTAATTACATAGTTAATTAACGCTAATAATCTACTATAAATTCGTAATAATCGCGATATTCTCCGCTATATCATCAGATAGCAAGAACTATTATTAATCGAATATCTAAGTAAAAAGATTACTAACTCGATTCATCTTACTTAATTACATATTAAAAATAATAATTTTAAAATAAAGATAAGAGAATTACATTATTTCTCCTAATTCTTTAATATTATAAACACTAAGCGAAGAAGAGAAAAGAAAAAACTTCTTATAATACCTTTTATAAGACTTTACTATAAATTCGAAAAATAATATTATATTTTGCGAGAACTTTTTTTTCTAATTTATAGATCGTTTAAGCTATCGTAAAAATTATAGATAATCTAAATATCGTTTTTTTAAATACTTTCACTTCGCTTAGAGAATTAATTATATAATTATTAAATTAGATAATAATTTCTTTAAATTTATTAGCCGTATAAATAAACTAGTTTAATAATTACTTTATTTCTCTAACTAATTATAAGATCGTTACGCTATTTTAATAGATATTCTTTATAACGTATTATCTATATAATAGATTTATCTAGAAATATAATAACTTAACTTAATATCTTATTAAAGCCCCTATTAATAAGTTTCTTAAATTCGTCTACTAATTTAAATATAGTAAGTAAGATAACTTAGTTATAATATTAGAATCGATATAGATATAGTATTAATATAGATATATTAAATAAGATAACTAGATATCGAATAGTTATATAAATAGAAGGTATTAAATAATAGTAGATAGCTCTATTAAGACACGCTAGGCCCTAATAGGTCATAGAGCTAAATAGTATATTAAGGGAGATATAGAATACGATTATAATAAATAGACTCGATCTTAATTTAATTTAATAAAGCCTTCTAGCTATTTTATATAGATCTTATACTTAAATTTTATATATAGAAATACTATTATAATATTAACTAGATTTACTTCTTAATTGTAGTATATAGTTAAAACTAAAAGAATCTTTTATATAATTAGCTTAATAATATCTAAAAAGATTTTATTATAATCGATATCTTCTTATTAAAGAAAATTCTTAATAATATATTTAGTCTTATAGTGTAGAATTTTATTATCTACTCTTATCTTCTTCTTATAGACTTATCTTCTCTTAAGAATAATACGATATACTGGTCTTAATACTAGCTTTTATATCTTTATCTTCTATAATAAGTTCTATTACTTCTATATAGCGATTATTTATTAAAGTGCTTTAGGTCCATTAATTACTTCTTTATAAGTATAAGACTTAATATCGAGTATAAGCGATATAGCCTATATTAACTTAGTAAATTTCTTCTTTAAAGTATCGAAGTTAGTTTATTTATCGTCTTAAATAATATAATAATTCTTTAATTTATTCTTAATTCGCTATAAGCGTTTTAGTGAATTAAATATAAATAAATTTAATATATTAAAAATAACACTCTTCTAGTTACTTAGTTTAGATAAATTTAAAATATAGTCGATCTTAGGATTTCCTAGGCCTATAAACGGATTTTAAATTATAATCTTAGAGTCTTCTCTAGATATATTTATTATTATCTTATTATTTATAGCTAGTAAAGAAGAAGCTTCTAGAGATAATAAAATTCTTCTAGCGACGATAATAGTATTTATAACATTCTTATTCTCTAATATCTTATTTAGTTTATTTTTAGTATTACTATAAGACGGAGTAAAAGTATAAAAAGATCTTTATAAGATATTATATCGCCGTATTAAATAAGATTTACATTTATTCTATAGTCGATATTAATTAAATCTCTTATAGTTAAATAAAATATATTTAAACTCTTATTTAACTATTTTTTTCTTTTATTTATACTTATAATTATAGATATAAACTATTATCTTAAATAACCTTAGATAAATTATATTTAACTTCTTTTTAATAAGAGTCTAATATAATATTCTAATTATCTTTCTTAATAAAGTCGTAGATAAGTAATTTATATTTAGAATAGCTATTTTAATTACTTTAGTTTATAGACTTAATAATAGATCTATAATTATTAACTAGATATATATCTTCTAAGTAAGAATACTATTAATATATTTATTAATATTATTCTATTTAGATAAATCGAGTATAATTAACTCTTATTATATATCTTAAGAGACTAGTTAATCTCGAATTTTCTTATTATTATACTTATTATCGTTATTAGAGCGAATACACTTAGAGATAATATAAAACTATATTTTAATTATAATAATAAAGTTTTATAGTAACTTAAATACCTAATCTACTGGCCGGAAAGGTATGGTATGATATGGGATATTGACCTGCCATACCATACTCTAATATGATATGAGTTATTGAGATTTGCATGATTTCATATCGTATGATATGAGATCTTGACGGTATATACCACGACCTCTGGGCTAAAGGAAACGACCGATCACTTGATTTTTAAGAAGTCTATCTATCGAAATTAAGTTTTTTAATTAATCTTTATAAAGTAATAATAATAGCCTCCTTTAGAGCGAGATAATATTAATTCGCTATTAAAGAGGTCTATATAAATACTATTAAAAGTATTTTCTATCTTAATTATTAATTTATAACTTAGAGTTTTTTTCTATTTCCTATAGATATATGACTTATAAAATTATTTTTTAATGTTATTTATAATTTCTATTCTCTCTACTATAGTTAATAGTCTAATAATATTATCGAAATTTAGATAGTTTAATACTTAATGCTATTTAATAGCTATTATCTTTTAGTAATTAGCTTTCTTAATAATCGCGACTATAGTAATCTCTTTAGTTATTATAGCTTTAAATAATATAAATCTTAGCTTATAAAGTATATTTATTAATTCTCTCTTAAAGACGATATTATTATTATTATTATAGACTCTTAGATAATCTCTCTTTCTAATATAAGTAAGATCGTTATATTAGAATATATTTAGAGAAAGTAAATTTATAAATAGATCTTCGATATAGTAGACGTTTATAAGTATAAGTATATATTCTTTATTCTCGTCGTTATTATTCTTAATAAGGGTCTTTAGTAGAGTATTGTCTACAGTAGTAACCTTAAGTATCCTTTCGTTAGTAGTCTCGATTAAAATAGAGTTTTCGAGGGATATTAATTTCTTAACGAAATAGGCTTCGAAATATGTTATATGAAATGAGGCTATATTATCGAAATATTAGTCGTTATTATATAATATCGTAATAGCCTTCGCATAAGCCGCCCTTGCTATTTTTAGTTTTTCGATAAATTCGATAGAGGTAATAGGCTTACTAACCTTCTTTTTCTTCTTAAATTCCTCGATATAATTCTTATTTCTTTTAACCTACTTAGCGAAGGCCTAATCGAGGTTAAATAGCCAGTAAGTCCTACTATAATGGCGACCGCAGTCGTCACACTTAGGTCAGAGGATAATGTTGTTATTATTCTTACCGCCGTTTCTCTTATTCTTGTTATTTGTGAATATGGCCTTATTATTAAAGTTATTAATACTAATTAGTTTCTAACGACGTTTTTAATTAAGAAGTTATTCGATAATATAGTCGAAATCTAATTTTAACAGCCTTTCGTTAACGTCTTTACCTCGACTATTTAAGATAATTTTTATAAATAATTCGTAAGAGAAGAGAAGTTTATAAAGGAAGAATATTATAATCTCTTATATATATTAATAATCTAACTTAACGAGTTTTATTTTAGCTTTTTTAATTGTCTTAATATATTTAATAACTTCTTTATAGTTAGCTAAGCTTATATAGTTAATAATTCTTTATAGTACTTTATAAGAGATATATCCTTTAAATTTATATATATCTTCGAGTACTTTAATTATATTATATATATTATAGATATCTACGATATAAATATAGTTATCTAACTTAAGAGATATACGTATATTATCTTTAATCTATAAGTTAGCGAACTCTTATTTATTATACTCTTCGTTCTCTTATAACTAGATTAATATTTTAGCGAGAATTAAATATATTTTAGCTATCTAATAATAATTATATATTATTTAATACTAGCGATCCTAATTGAATACTCTCTTAAATGTAGAAATATTAACTATCGATAAGAATATAGCGAATTTAAAGATCTTTTTAAATTATAATTATTTAAACTTTATTTAATTTATCTTCTAGGTTTATAAGTTATATAATTTCTATAACTCCTCTAATATAGATATAATAGGCTATTAACCTTCATCGTCTTATTATCCTAATTTGCCTATTATGGCTAGAAGGATATATATATATATTTTTTTTAAAATTTAATATAATTAAAATGTTGATATATTACCAGTATTAATTAAAAGCTTATAACCTCTCAGCGTAGTATAGCAGTGGTGATAGAAAGTATATAGATTCAGTAGTGGGGCTATTAGCTATTATATAGCTGATGGAGAATAAAGCACTACTATCTATGGCTAGCTACATGAAAGGAACAATGATGGAATATGCATGGAAGGATGTAGAAGGAACGCATGCATAGAACATGAAGGAACTAGACACGCTGACATAATTGCCTCTCAAAATAGAAACGACAGCCTCGGAAGACCCCGACAACAGACACCTGACACCATGGCTGCCTCACCTTCTTCTCTCAACACCATCCTTGCCCTCTGAGTGAGCGCAGCAACAGCCAAGGGGTATGCAGGCCGCAACAGACAGCGCAGCAACGGTGACATGGAGCTTGGCTCCGTTCGCCCCGACTCCACCCCTTTCCTCAATGAAGAGCCGGCCTCCGGCCCAAGTTCTTTGCGTTCGAGCCTAGACAGTGACTACTATCAGAGCCAAGGTTGCGACATACATATATACGATGACATACTTTCAGACCAGAGTACATCTCCAAACGCTCCCAATCGAGGGTTCGACGCTTCTACATGGCACGGAGGACTCGGGGACCGCGAGGGACTCAGGCAGCATCTCAAGGTACCCCGACTACGCTCCAAACTGTAAATACCAAGCTTACTTCTGCTAGGCTAGAGATCCGCACAGGACTCGATGGATGTAGGCATGCTCGCCCCCATGGATATAAACGCACAAAATCTTAGGGAGCTACAGCAACGTGGTGGGATGATCTAGCAGCTTGTTAGATGTGGGTCTCACGTCGGGAGAATCAAAATAGTGGAAAGGCTAATACCATACTACCAGGAGGTCGCAAATCTTCATCTTGGGGGCCACAGGTGTCTGGACTTGGAGACTGTATCGAGACAGACACTTGGCGGGCCAACGTATGCAGGTGAAGACTCTCAATGTAGGCGGCCGACCCGAACGTTGTTTCGGTTCAGCGACGGCTAAGCAGTGAAGTTATCTGGCTCCACACGCAGATATGGTTCGTTGGTAACCGTGCCCCTGTTTGTTCTTCTATGCGGCAAACAAGACTTCGAATGGTCATTTGCCTGCCGACAGCAACCAGTGCTGGTAAGCTATAACTCGATGGCGCTTCTACATACTAACTGTCGGTGTTGTAGGCACCTTGATCACGAATTTCGTTGGCCCACTCCGCCTCGCGCAAGAAATAAGTAGTATATACGCGAGCCGGATCCTGGATAGCCATGCATTAGGCCCGCAGGCACTGGTTTGCGTCTGGATACTAGCCTTTGCCACACTGAGAACGACGGCGGAGCAGCTTGATTTCACCTTCGACATTTTCGACCCCATCGGCTCATCGCCCCAGGTCGGCGGAATCCATGCTCATCCCGTAGTTGGGACATCTGCTGACGATCGTCAGCTTTGTAATGTTCCAAAACTCGATGACCTACCTTTTATCTTAGAAAAATCGAACAGACTCGCACGCATCGACAGGTATCTCGCCGGATTGGAGGAGTTCCAGTCTTTCTTCCTCTCGGTCCAGCGACTGCTAGCTCCAGAGCCTATTGCAGATGCCAGCGATGATGATGATCCTGCCTTTCGCTCGGCGAGAACCAGAGTCTGCACAATTCGAAGCCTCGAGAGCTCGAGAGAAGATAAGACAAGAGCAAAGGCTTTGCCAAACATATATGAGACAATATGACGCGCTGGTTCAATTGGTGAGTCGAATTCCATGCCTCAAGACCAGCCCTGAATGCTGTTCCCTAGGTTATTTCCTACAGCACCACTCAAATCACCGAGCGATTAGATCACGGCCGCGAGGTCGCAGAGCAGTTCGGTAAGATAGGAGTGTTCCTTGCTGGACTTGCTGGGATCGTGGCACCCATGAGCTTACTAACCGGTTTCTACGGCATGAACGTCAAAGAACTGACACAAGGCGCCACTGGGACACTGTTCGAATTCTGGGAAATTGGTATTCCTGTGCTTTTAGTTACTGCAGTCTGCGTTGCCTTCATCCTTCTTTGGATGATGACAGGATCTGTCCTTACGCCTAAGAAGGGATAAGGCCCAAGGAGCCAAGGCAAGGGGGTTCATTGACCTACTTGAGAACATCGAAGGCTACGTTGACGACGCTGAAGAGCTTGCTTTAGGGTAGGTGGACGAAGGAGGTGCTTTGGATCGCATTGGCTCTATACTAGAAGTGCCGTGGGCCATATGGGCTGGTTTCTTGGGACTGAAAACACATTGGCAGGATTTCCATCTATCCACTTGCTTTGGCTTCCGCAAGGGGCATTCTGACGACGGCTGCTGTAAAATGGAATTTCCCTGCGTCTGCAGAGATCAATTACAGTGGACTACTGAATTGAAAAGAGGTGTGGGTTTGTGCTGGTCCCGAGAACGATGCGCCGTGGTCAATTCGCTGCCGGGTCGTGTACGAATTCGCAAGACTAGACAGCAATGTGATTCAGAAGATTGATTCAAACCGAAAATGGTATTAGTTACATAGGCTAGCCTCATATGATAACAGTTAGCGTCGTCGATCGCGAACAAATTAAACTACTATTCTATATTATGGAATAATAATTTAAATATATATTTATTCTATTAGATAATAACGACTCTAAGAATACTATATATAAAGAAGTTTAAGAGATCTTATCTTTAGTCTAAGACTCTTAAAGAATAAAAGTCTCTAATAATCTTATCTTATTTAATAGCTTTATTACGTAATATAAAGTCTACTAATAAAGATTAATAATTAAATTAAACTATTTATATAACTTATAAATATATACGATTAAAGGCCTATGAATTAAATTTATAATCATTTTTTTAATTAGAGCTATCGAGTAAATTTAATAAGCGATCTTTAATAAGCGATATTTGAATACCTTACCTCTTAATAATTATAAGACTAAATTTCGAAATTCTTATTCTATTATATATACTTTTATCTTATTCTATTATATTAGTATATATAATAGAATAAAATAGAATTAAACTAGAAAATCTTAAATTTATATATATAGTTAATTATAAATTTAGAGTTATTATATTATTTAATTAAACCGACTAAGTTAGCCCGCTAGTCCTTTCGAGACTCTTTATTAAAAAAATAGATATACGTTATTCACAATAGAAATAACTTTTTTATTTTTTATTAAAATTTTAGAATTTTTTTTGGATTTAAAGCGCTATTTACGCTTTTCAAATATTTAAGAATTCTAAAATTTAATCTTATAATTATTAAAGCGCAAGGAGTTCAAATATTACTCATTAAAGTTCGCTTACTAAAGATCGCTCACCTACTTACTCGATAGCTCTAATTAAAAAATAATTATGAATTTAATTTATAGGCCTTTACTCGTATTAATATAATAGAATAAGATAGAGCTAAGTTAAAAATCTTAAATAATAGAATAAGATAGAGCTGAGCTAAAAAATCTTAAATTTATATATATAGTTAATTATAAATTTAGAGTTACTACGCTTTTTAATTAGATATCGCGGATAAATAAACTAGCGTCCGTAACTATTAAAATCTCTTACTCTACTTTTAATCATTTAATAACTTTACTATTAATAGAGTTAAATTAGAAAATCTTAAATTTATATATATAGTTAATTATAAATTTAGAGTTACTATACTCTTTAACTAGATCGACTAAATCATCGCGGGTAAATAAGTTAACGTCCGCAATTATTAAAAATATCTTATTCTACTTTTAACCCTTTAATAACTTTATTATTTTCTATTAAAATTTTAAGATTTTTTTTTTAAATTATAGAATGAAATGTAGGCTTTTAGATAAAAAAATAATTTCTAAATTTAGTCTTTTGATAATTAAAGCGTAAGAAATTCAAATATCGCTTACTAAAGTTCGTTCGACAGTCAAATAGCCTTGATTAAAAAATAGATACACATTATTTAAATTTAGAATAACTTTTTAATTTTTTATTTAAATTTTAAGATTTTTTTTTTAAATTATAGAACAAAATGTGGGCTTTTAGAAAAAAAAAGAATTACTAAATTTAGTCTTATAGATATTTAAAGGCAAGGAATTCAGATATCGCTTATTAAAGATCGCTTACTAAAATTTACTCGACAGCCCTAATCAAAAAAAAAAATTATGAATTTAATTTATAAGTCTTTACTCGTATATTAATAATAGAATAAGATAGAGCTAAGCTATAAAATCTTAAATTTATATATATAACTAATTATAAATTTAAGATTATTATATCTTTTAGCTAGACTAATTAAGTTAGCTCGATAATTCTCTTAAGATCTCTTAGTAAAAAAATAGATATACGTTATTTATAAATAGAATAACCTTTTTATTTTCTATTTAAATTTAAAATTATTTTTTTATATTATAGAGTAAAGTTTACGCTTTTTAATAATTTAAAAATTTAAAAATTTAATCTAATAACTATTAAAGAAAAAGAATCTTAAATACTACTTATTAAAGTTCGCTTATTAAATTTATCGATAGATCTAATCGAAAAATAAATTTATATTATTTAATTTTAAAATAATATTCTTATTTTCTATTAAAAAATTTTAATTTCTTTTTTCAATTATAGAACGTAATATAGACTTTTAAATAAAAAAAAGAATAATTATAATTTAGTCTTACTAATATTTAAAGATAAAGAATTTAAATATCGCTTTTTAAAGTTCGCTCGATAGCTCTAATTAAAAAATAGATATATATTATTTAATTTTAAAATAATTTTTTTATTTTTTATTAAAATCTTATAATTTTTCTTTTTAATTATAGAACGTAATCTACGCTTTTAAATAAAAAAAGAATTATAAAATTTAGTTTTATAAATACTTTAAGATAAAGAATTTAAATATCGCTTATTAAAAATTTATCTACTCTATTAAGAATATTCTTTAATATAAGCTTAGATAATCGAGTAGTAATAAATTTAATAAATTTCGAAACTAATTTACTTCGTCCTCGATTCGAATTCATAAATCTCCCTCGTTAAAAAATCGTGAAATCGTAAAATTCGTAAAATTCGTAAAATCGTAAAATTTATAAAATTATAAAATTAATAAAATTAATAAAAATTCGTAAAATTGTAGAAATAAAAAAATAAAAAAATAATAAGAATTAACTATAATAGATATTAAATTTAACTTTTTATTAATTAAATTTAATTTTATTTAAAGTTAATTAAATCTTTATAAACTTATTATTATTAATTTATTATAACTTCTCTTTTTTCTATTAAAGTCTTTGAAATTTTTTTAAATTATAAAATATAATTTTCGCTTTTAAATAATCTAAAAAAAAAAAAATCGATCTTATAGTTCTAAGTAAATCTTAAATTAAAGTATTTTCACTCTTCGAGAGTCGAATTCAATCTCGAGATTAGATTTAAAAATTAATTACTTTTTATAAATTGAATTTATAAGTTTAAACTTACTATTATAGAATAAAATACTACGACTTTTAACGATATAAGAATTATTAAATCTTAATAGACGTTTATTAATTTATAATAATAATAAGAATTACGATAATAAATTAACTTAATATAAGAATTTTCGAAGTTTAATCTTTTATAGTTCTCTAAATTCTATTTATTAAATTATAAAAGTCGATTTTTATATATTATCTTATTTAATAATTTACTTTAACTCGTAATATATATATCTCTCTATATAATATAATTATATTCTTTCTTATTTATATTCAGATATAGTTTTTAAATTTTATTTCTAAACTTATTAAATTAAACGTAATCTTAGATACTTATTACGCTAAGATCTAATTATCTATAAATTATATTAACTATAAATAAAATCTCTCTCTTTTTAAAAAAGCTCTATATATAAGTATACTCTTATACTATATTTTATAATATATTAAATCTTAAAATAACTCGCTCTTTAGAAATTAATAATATTATTTAACTAGTATTTATACGAGTAAATGTCTATAAATTAAATTTATAATTTTTTTTTTTTAATTAGAGCTGTCGAGTAAATTTGATTTACGATCTTTAGTAAGCGATATTTAAATTTCTTTTCTTTAAAGAACTATAAGATCAAAATTTGAGATTTTTACATTTTTAGAAAGCGCAAATTACGGTCTATAGTTGAAAAAAATAATATTTAAATTTAAATAGAAGATAGTAAAGCTATTAAAAGGTTAAAAGTAGAAAAAGAGATTTTAATAATTACGAATATTAATTTATTCATCTATAGTATCTAATTTAAAAGCGTAGATCTATCGAGTTTATAATTAACTATATATATAAATTTAATATTTTCTAGCTTAGCTCTATCTTATTCTATTATATATATTAATTTATATTAATTAAAGAATTATCTCTATTTCGAAGAATTTATTATATAAAATTACTAGTATTAAATTTTTTTTAAAGCGTATTTCTTTATATATATCTATTTATAGATTATATAATTTAATAAATATTCTTATATTATATTAGAATTAGAATTATATCTTAATAAGTAATAGTAATAATTAAAGATTACTTAATAGAAGTTTATTTATTTATTTTACTTATTTATAATATTATTTAATTATACTATATCTCTATTTATTTTAATATCTATATTACTTATCTATTATCATTTAATCTATTATATAGAATTATTATATATAAATAATTAAGTAATAAATTTCTTAATAGTAAATAGACTATTAATATATCTTTTAAATAGTTTAATACTTATTAAACTTTAATAGAAGATAAAATAGTTTAATCTTTCTTAAATTTTAATAGAAGATAGATAAAAGAAAGTAAAGAAAGTAAAGAGATGAATAGAGAGTTAAATTCTAATTCAGATTACGTAGAATCTATTACTACTCTCGATTTTAATCTATTTATTTTTAATATTTAAAACGATTAGCTTTAGAGTTTAATAGCTTTATTTTAAAATATATTAATTATATAATAAGTTTATTAGTAATTATAAGTTCTTTTAGATATGAAATAGTCTTAATTATAGTTAATAAATACGTTTTAATCTTCTACTTAGTCGAATATATAGTCTACTTTACGAAATTTCTTTCTTATAT